AGGCAAGTATCAATTGCTTGTCAAGCATGTACAGACCGTTCAGAAGCTTCTCAAAACTGAAGCCTCCAAGGACCAACTGGTCTCTGCTGCAAAAGATTTCGGACTGGACCCGAAGCTGGCATCCAGACTGTCGATCAAGAATTTGTCCACAGTGATCGCGGTTGCACGGTTTCAAACTGCTTGACTAGCAGTTCAGTGCCAACATCTTGCTGCTTCCAACAAACAGGGAATCAAGCAGCAAATTTGCATGTTGGGAGAGGCGGTGACGTTCTTTTTGCACCACTGTCCAGGCTTCAATAAGGAGTCTGCATTGTGGGCCCAAGGCTTGCTTCATTTGCTGTTGTTGTTTTACTTTCAAGACGGTTCCCTCTCGTCTTATGCTGAGACTATCCGACAAAAGCTTCAGCATTTTCGGGTCCACCCTGCCACCTACACGTGGCCGCGATTTCAATCTCAGAATGCGGTGTACATGAAGACAGCTGTGGACTGGCGCCACTTTTCAAGTATTGAGCACTACAGGCAGCCTTCCACACTTATGTACATTGGATCTACGAGCCAATCGGTGTTTCGAAGAGAGTCTAACAGATTCTCAGTCGCCAGGAAACTGGCCGGCGGAGGTGAAGCTCAAGCCGAGCTAGCAATTCGATACTGGGTGTCCAATCAGTGTCTCGAACAGTATACCTTGTTTCTTGTTGCTCCGTGCTCAACCTACAAAGAAGCATGGGTTACTGAGCACTGCTTGATTGGGATGTGGCAGCCCAAGTTGAATCACCCCTACATTACTTCTTTTTTCAAGAGGAGTGCATTGGGCTTTAGACCCAACATGAAAGTTTAAACCCTTGTACCAGTATACTTCTTATAATCACGGCACGAGCTTCAGATTCTTTTCCACTCTAAGCTCCACTGTTGGGCCGTGCTTGAGCCTTCGTTTGACCTGCGGTGAAACACTGGATTCCTGTATGTTTCTATATATGAAGGAAAATTGAACTATCTGTTACGCCCTCATCGCATACACAGCTTTGTCGTGTAATGCGATCATTGTGAAACTTTTCCTACGTCCACCACGGTTCTCGCATGCTCTTGTGAGCCATCTTCACTTCTCACACGCTTCATCTTTGAGCACGTTTAACCGTCTTTGGCTTCTTCTTCCTTCTTCTCGCTTTGGTGCTTGTTGTGGATGTCGTTGGCTTTTAGTCCTGTAAACGGAAACTGTTGAGCTGACCATTGTTTTACAACAGTCGCACTTGCCAACTAAAACTCAGGCGCTCTCACTATTTTCCATCTCGCGGTACACGAGGTAGTTTGTTCGGCATAGCTCTTTTCAGAGTCTTTGCAAAAGAACTTTGGCTTCGTAGGCCTCGCTGGCTCTTTCAGCCTTTTCTTTAAACACGTTCGTTGTGCTTTGTCGTGGGACTTCAGCTTTTGCTGTCGCTGGCGTTGGACGCCTTTCCGTGAAATTCCGCTCTTTTCTTGGAATTCACTTTCAGCATAGCTTTCCCCTTTTCACACACAAAGATAGGCTTACTGCCCCTTCTTGCATGGATTGTGAAACTTCCATCTCTTCTCACAGGCTTTCCAGCGGTGTGAGACAAAACACTCCTTCTGCCCTGGGCGGCTTTCCGCCCTCACTCACCTTTGATCTTCGCAACCTTCGCATGTCCGGCTTTAGATCAAATCCTCTTCTTCGTCTCGCTTCCTCTTCTTTGTGTCCTTGTCCTTGGACTTGTCGGACTTCCTCTTCTTGTTCTTTTCATCCTTTTCGTCCTTCTTCTTTTCATCACTTGTCTTCTTCGGCTTCATCGTCTCTGTACCCCAACTCTTCTGTGGCGAATAACCACTTTTAGCCTTTTCAGCTTCCTTCATCTCCTTGAGTTCATCAGCAAACTTGTGGGCATTGCTGCTCATGTAGTCTTCAACATCACTTCTGTGGTAACAGATATCGGGACTGTGTGTCCCCCATCCTTTGTACTGATAATCTCTGTACTTGCAATGGGTGTACATGATCCAACAGTACTTGCAGAAGATCTTCCTTGTCTCATTGTCCTTGCCGGGCTTCGGTGCGTTCGGACAATACTTCTCGATGGCCTTGAACATCTCCGGGCACTCCGGTGCTTTGTGACCATCAGTCTTCTTGCAGTAGAAACAATGAAGATACTTTGTACCTTGGAATGCTTCCTTCTTGAGCCATTGTGGATTCACGTTCTTCAACTCCTTGCGTGGTGGCTCTCCTGTAGGTTCACTTGGCTTCAAATGTCCGAGATCCACCTTCTCTTCGATCACTTTATCCGGGATCTCTTGGAACCTTTGCTTCAGCTTCTCTTTTGAACCATTTCGCCGAATTTCTCTAGCGCTTCTCTTGCATGCATTGTCTTTTCTAACATCTGCACGCGCGCTTATGACTTCCTCCTCTTTTTCTCGGAGGATCTTCACCTTCTCTTCCAGCTTTTTCTCCATCTCTTTCTTTAGCTCCTTCTCGAACTTTTCCAAGTCCTTTTGAGCTTGCTTGAACTCTTTCTCCGCATTCTTCTCATCTTCTGTCATGATCGATATACTTTCAACGTAGTCTCCGATCTCACCGTCAATCCTTGTGAATAGATCATTCGTTCTTAAACCGAATCCTGTTGGTAGCCGAGCTACCGGTCTGCGAATGGCTTCTTGCCATGCGGTAAACTCCTTCTCGAGGGTTTCGCACCGTTTCCCAGATCGATATCCTTTCTGTGTCGAATTGGTCCTTCAGCGATTTCCTCGCTTTCTTGTCCTCCTCGCCTGAGGATTCAACCAACTCTTTCTCTGGGTCCGGCTTGTCTTCCTTGGTCTCCTGCTCTTCCTCTTGTCTTTCTTCTTTCTCTTCTTCTTTCTTTTCCTCTTTCTCTTCTTCTTTCTTTTCTTCTGCCTCATCTGCGACTTGATTTGCCGCTGATACCACATTTTGTCTCCTTTCTTTGGCTGCTTCTGCTAGCTCGTTGAGCTCTTGCAACCGCTTGTCCATGAGCTTTCCTTGCTCCCTGACTCCAGCCTTGATCTCTTCCGATAAGACGATCTTCTCAGACTCCAAGGCTTTGATCTTTTCCTTCCTTGCATTCTTGAGCTCTTCATGCTCCTTCTCCAGTTCCTCGGCTGTCTTCTTGAAGCTTTCAAGATTTTCGTCTCTTTTTCTCTCCTTTTTCTTTCCTTTCTCATTTTCCTCATCCTCTTCTGACTCGCTTTCTTTTGACTCTTCTTCATCAGACTCTGGATCCGACGCAGCTTCACTTTCTTCTTTCTTCTTTGGCTGCTCTTGTTCCTTTTCTCCTTCTTCATCGGTCGCTTTGTCTTCACGGTCTTGGTTGAGCGTCTCTACCGCTTTCCGGATATCATCTGCGGTAGGTCTGTCTCCTCTTTTCTGCTTGAGCAATCTATTTATGTACTCAATTGACCTGACGCTTCTGCACTTGTCGGTAATGATCACATTCAAGGCGTCATCATCAGCCATTGCTCTGGCTTTATCCTCTTCTTTTCCTTCTTCCACGAGGACTTTCTTGAAGCTCTTGAGCAAAACGGCTTTGGTAATGCATATGCACATCCATGCTGCAACCATGCACATCACTACGCTTGCTCTTCCCAGTCCTTGTTCATCTTCTTCACCGATCCTTCTTGCTTCAGCCAACGATAACAACACTGCAGTCGTAACCGTCTGAATAATCCTTGTGATCATCTTTTCATCGAGCTTTATAACACTTCTTGATCTTCGCACTTCGGCTTCTTCTTGAACTTCTTGAGCATCTTGTGTCAAATACTCACCTGTATATCCTAGACTTAGCATGTACTTGCGTATTTTCTCCCTCGTCAGGGATTTTGTCCCTAAGTCTGACGGATTGTCCTTTCCGGCTATCGCCTTTATAATCAGCTTCGGAATTCTTTGGATCCATAAGAGGTCCACTTGTAAATGACGTGCCTTTCCTAAACCTTTTCTTGCGATTAACTGTCTTGAGCTTGACGAACCACTGTATAACATCAGTCTTGATTCTACTCCTAGGATTCTTGTCAGCAATCCTTTCACGAATACACCTTCACTTAAGATTGATGTCGCTGCGATTGTCTCGGCTTCGCAAGATGATAATGCTACGCTCTTTTGCCTCTTGCTTTGGAAATGAACCAGGTTTCCATTCACCATTATCATTCCACACGATACACTTTGCCTTGATTCTCGATCTGCTGCCCAATCACTGTCACTTATCACTTCTATGAGCGCTGGCATCTTGTAATTGTCTCTTTCGACCTTTCCTTCGCTGCTTCTGTTCTTCACTTCCAGGAAACTCTTTCCAGGATAGCTTTCCTGATGTACCAACGTAAGTTCAGGTACGCACGCTGCCGCAAGCCGCCGAATGGACGCTGTCTTGCGAAAGTTCGGCCGGCGCGGCGGAGCCCATTTCGCACGGTTAGCACGGCGACGATAAAAAGCATATGCGTCTGCACACGAGCGAAATGCGTGTTTTCGTGTGGACGCTGTCTTGCGAAGTTCAGTTGCTGATCCGGATCCTGGTCGCGGCGCCGGCAGTTCGGAGGACGCTGTCTTGCGATCAGGCATCTTCTACGTCGTGGCCGAAGGTTGCGAAGCCAGGTCTGGGTTGTGTGCGGTGTTGTGCTCTTAACAGAAACGATCGTCGAGAAACTCGCATGTCGTCTTGCAAGCTGAAGGACTCTACGGGAAGCATCATCCGCGCCTTCGTGCGGGGACCTTATGTGGATGTATTCAGAGCCTCGGCTGTCTCAGACCGGCATGTGTCGTATGATACTCTGCCCTGCACGTGATGTCAGTCTCGCGCAGCTTGGTTCAACATCAGCGGCATAGCAGCTTTGATCTGTTTGTGGGCTGTGCAGACGCCGTCTTGCGAAAGCACAGGGTGAGTAATGGCAATTTCTGCCATGAATGAACTTCGTGTCTTCGTGGGCCTGACAGCCGATCAGTCGGATCGAGTCCTGGCCGGAGGGCAAGTGGCGGGTACGCACAGGGGTCGCTGGGGATTGCGTCCTGACGCAGTCACAGCGCCTCGGCGGTGATATATCACAGCGATAAGTGTTAAGGCATCGTTTCAGTTGCTGTCGTTCGGAGGCCATTCAACGCTGCGTGGAGAGCGACTTACATTCATGGCAGGGAGGAGAGTGGACGCTTCATGGCGACCCGCATGCCGTGCGGGCCCATGAGATCACATTCACCGCGATCGGCTACATGACGCTGCTGGCATCTTGGAAAATCTCGTGAATTGCAGGGACACGACAGCATGCGCTTTTGTTTTGATCAGGATAAAGTGTCGCCAAGGAAATGCAACTGTTGGAGAAGACACCCGAGCGGACCCGGTGGTATCGTCTCCACATGCCACTTCGTGCCGAATTGCGCTCCGAGGACGGGACACTGCTATATACCCTTTCCGAAGGGTGGCAGAGTGCCTGAGCCGCTGGTGGGGCTTGGTTTGCTGTTTTTTTAACGATCGAGTGCAGCTCCGGCTGCCGCAAGCCGCCGAATGGACGCTGTCTTGCGAAAGTTCGACCGGCGCGGCGGAGCCCATTTCGCATGGTTAGCACGGCGACGATAAAAAACATATGCGTCTGCACACGAGCGAAATGCGTGTTTTCGTGTGCTATGAGTGCAGCTCTCTGCACGAGGTCCAGAAGCTGCTGCCTCGGTGCGAGGAGAAGGCACAGCAGCCGATCCTATCTGTTGATGTGCAACTGTGTTGCTGTGTTTTGATACTACTATTTGGCTCATGTCATGTTGTCAAGTATTCAATATTCTACTTGTGAGCTTCGACGTGTGTTATCGAGTCTGAGCAGTTTTATGTCGACAAATGCCCACCCAATCCCTTCCCCGGCGCCGGGAAGTCGTCGCGGCCATCACGCTCGTCCGAACCGCGGTCTTGCTTCTGGAACTTCAGCCTCTAAGTAGGTGCTCGCGCTATCGTTGCTTTCCAGACGCGCTCTCGCTCTCTGGGTGTGCCGCCCTGCAGCATTCACCATTTCCATGAAGGTCTCCACGTCGAAGCCCTGTGATCAGAAGCGCACAGCTTTGCGGACGCGGCTTCTCATGTCCTCGCTCGTTAACGCATTTTGGACCCGGCCTCTAGGTCCATGTCGCCAGAGTTGTCGTACTTTGCACGCTTGTTCTCGTCTGACAGCACCGTGAAGGCCTTCGTGAAATTCCGAGCCGAGCAATGGAGTGCCTCCGTGCCTCCACCTCGGCGACTTTCTGGAACTTGAGCTTGGCATCGGGGTCGTCCGGATTCTTGTCCGGGTGAAACCTCCACGAAGAAAGTCACGTGTGAGCGTTGCGCACGGCCATGCATAAGCACGCGGAGAGACAGAGGGGTTGCCTCAGAGACCGCTTGCGGTAGGCTCGCTTGATGTCATCGGCTTTCGCGCTGCGCGGGAGTCCGAGAATCCTTCCAAGAGTGCAAGCCGAAGCGAGCGCAGGAGAGGCGGAGAGGCAGGCAATGCAACAAGGCATGCGGCGTACACCTGTACAGGTCACTTTCCGCAAGCAGATCGATGTCTTCGCCCTCCGGATCCCGGGTACCGCTGCGGAACAGTCCTGCAAGGGAGGGATGAAAGCAGCACGCGCACGCACACACACACACACACACACACACACACACACACACACACGCACACACGCAGACCGTTCTGTAGGTTTCTTGGTTTAATGGTTGTCGGGAACGTGGCTCTTGCTCCTTCTCTTTGTCTCCTTGTTTTTTGATGATCTCTCAACTCAATCTTCTATAGTTAAGAAATACCCAAGAGACACAAGTGTTCTAGCAAGGAACAGCAACAAGTACAGCAATCGCACTTGTTTTCCTTGAGCCAAATGTTCAGTTGATAAGTCTTCGTTCTGTCCTAACTTGGTACTTGTAGTTACACTAGGAAACATGCCCAGGGAACGTGTTTTCTCAGCTCCCCCCTTTAGGACAAGTACGAACGCTTCTACGAGCCTGTACAGATGCTGATATGTACAACAGTTTACGGCTGCTTGAGCTTGAAGCCTAACGCTTGTAACAAGTGACCGTCATCAGGACTGATGTTGGTCGAGTCTCTGATTGTAAAGGCAACTGCAGTGAACCTAGGATTGCTGGTGGCAATAGACAAATGCCAACGCCTTGGATCGAACCTCGCAGGACTCTTAAGGAAGAATCCTCGTAAGCGAACACCTGGTGCTGGGCAAGGGGAGTCTCCTTCAGGATCCTCAACCCACAACAGCGGTTCTGTGCACGGCGTTAAACCCACAAGGAAATTCTTAGAGTCAGGTGCGTTGTGCGAATCCCTATGCATCGGTGTCATTACACCTTCTTGCACGATTACGGTAGTAAACGTGTGCGAGGGCATCAGTTGTCCAAAGAACCTAGTGATAACGGCAGTAGCTTTGGGAAACAATCTTGTCATATTCCTTACACCAACGATGCCACCATGTACGAAAGCACCTGATGCGAAGGAATGAACACCTTCTGCAGATTCAGCCCTTGCTGATTGCTCTTGCGGTAGGTAAGACAACAACTGCACGAGATGCTGTTTGTTGATGCGCTGTGGCAGGCTGCCAGCAAACGCTTCAGCACGCGCTATTGCGTCTGCTAAGATGACGAGGGCTTTCTCCTCTTTGGGAACAAATTTAAGACCTAGTTGGACTAGCATGACTGGCCATTCACAGGGGTTTATTACCTTAGTAAGGCCGTCAGCTATCTGCTCTTTTGTGGGGCAGCACGTCGCAACTACTGAGTCGTTATCAATTTGCTCCGACATCGAGGCGATGTTGATGCGGTGCACTCTACCACAATGCCTCAACTTAGCGCTGTAACCGTTAGCAAGAATCGTAAGCAGGGTCTCGTTATCTTGATGGTATGTTGTCTTGCAACAATAACCCAACAAGTACTGCATGAAAGTCTGAATGTTTATCGCTTCTGAAAACATGGCAGTGCTCATGGCGATTGCCTCTGCCTCCGGCGTCCAGCGCGCTACGGAAGATTGCTTACGTGAGGACCAAAAGACAGGGAACCTTGACGCTCCTGTCTCAATGCAAACGAAGATACCAGACGTGGATTTGCTGGTGAAGGGACAGCTACCAAAATCTGCGTCAGTGTACACATGAAGACTCGGTTCTTCATTGTGACATACAGAGGCTGTTAAGCACAGGTCTACTGTGCCGTTAAGATAGCTTATTGCCCTAAACAAAACCTTATCTTCCCATCTGGTCCATCGCGTGACCTTGGTCGCAAGTCTTCCAGTAATGAAGTAAAGATCTGGCCTCGATAGTCGCGCCAGCCACAGCATCTTCATAAGAATGCGTGCGGCTACACCGCTAAGCTCTCCTTCTACAGCTAGATCCTCATCAGCGATACCAGCTTCCGAGAGACAAGGCGTAGGTACTTTACGCAACTTCGTTTGCTTTAAACCAGACAACTCCAAGTACAACTCAACGACCTGTTCGGCATAAGCGCACATGTTAAGAGTAACAGTTGTATGACTCGGACTGCGATGAATCGTGTGGTTTCTGCCAAGAACCCTGGCTCCATCTTCAATCTTGGTTTCTGGCTCAATCTTGATTAGTTTACGCAGTTGATCCCAGAATCTCTGGTGAAGATCAGCCTTCCCGGCAAGACTCAAATCATCAACGTAAATATTCAAGACTAAGAGCTCACCCTGAAACCAAAACAACCAATTAGAAGGATGTCCTGGGACCTCTTCGCCTCCTATCGACCGTAATTTCTCTGCAAGATGTTCTTGCCATAACTTTCCGGCAAGTGGATGCCCATAGAGGCTCCGCATCAGCTTTACGGCAATTTTGGCGTTCGGATCAAACTTTTCCTTCATCTCTGCGGTCCAGAGTTCGTACGGCAAAATAACCCACGTGTCTTCTTCGAGCTTTGCTTGAAGAAATGCTTGGATCGCGTCACTAAAAGCAAGGGTTGAACCTTTTCTACACCCAAACCAAAACGTCAAGTTTAGCGACGTAAGCGCTGTGGGCGATGTCGCCGTGTCATCAAACAAGACGATGTTATGTGAAGCGTCCGTTAGATAATCTCCACGATACACGATTCTACCTTTCCACTTTTGTTGGTGCGGTTCCAACTCTATGTGCTTAACACCACACAAGGTAAGCAACTCTGCCACTTTAATCTTTCGATTCTGGGCTCTCGCTTGACTCCGAAGACTAGTCAGAAGGATAGCTGAGGAATCATCCCAGGTGTTGTTGGCCCTGAGTCCGTCAGCCTCCTTGTGTACTGCCTGTAAGCCCCTCGGGTCTTGCATCCAAACCTTTCGTGGCAAGTTTTGAGTCACCATACCATATGCACCTGTCATGTGCGGCACACTTTTGAATGCATGCGATGGAAAGAGAGCCTCTGCAACAACTTTGGCGAACTTGATCGGACTTGCATCCTCACATGCTTGATGTGCGTTGCTACAGTGCTCATGCGCATGGCTACCATCGCATTGGTACTGAGACAGGTACTGTATGAGGTTCAGACTATTGGTCGAAACACACAGTGGACGATGCTTGGGATAGTGGTCACCCTCAAAACCGAGCATACACCCATCGAAGGATACACGCTTCAGGCAGCTGGCTGACTCAAAATCTCTCCAAAGCTTGTGATTCCACGCATACGCTATGATTGTCAAGACAGGTTTGCAACAGTGGCAATGTCTGACGCAGTGAATCTTCGATTACCTTGCGGTGTGCTTTATGCTTGCCTTTGTGACGTTCTACAAAGGATAAGTTAACCCAAAGGTCAGAACCCTTTAGATGTTGAAGCTGTCCCAAAACTTGATCAACATGATCTTTGTTTGTCGGGTCAACTACATCGGAGGATAACTTTATGCACTTAGCGCCTATATCGCTGACGGCTTGTGCAACCTTTGAATCCACATGGCCAGCATACTCTAACAGCACGTTCATGCCTGGCATTTCTGTTAATGTTGCAATGCGCCTCGCGTGATTCATCACGGAGTGCCGTTCAAGGAACTTCGTATCAATGTCATCAACAATCTTACCAACGGCACCTTGCTCAACATGTTCAGCACTCGCGGCCTCTTCATGTGACCCCCCTGGATCTGCATTCTCCGTGGCTCGGGAGCCAACTGGATCAGCTGGTGTTACAGGTGGTGTCTTAGGAGCTTTGGCAATTCTGTCGGCGCGAATCAATGCATTGAATCTAGCCCTACAAAGCGGCGTATGTTTTGTTGATTCGAATTCGCATCCTCGGCACCCCGGCGTGGCACCGAATTTGAAAACTCTATCCATGGTGATATACTCATTGTGCGTTCGTGGCGTAGTTACGCCATCAATTGCAGCAAACGGTATGTCTAAGGGTTGAATGTCATCTAGCTTTGGCTGGTCAAAGTTTGCTAACGCAGTTTCGGCAGCACGCTTCAAAGGAAGTTGTGGTGGCTGTTTGTCGTCAACCCAAACCTCCTCAGTAGGAACAGCTATGGGGATTGCATAACCGGGAGTGCGGTTCTTGATCTTCTGATAATCCAGAACAAACAACACCCCTTTAAAGCTCTTTGGGCCCGAATCGTATCTAAACTTGGATTCGTTGAAGGAGCTATCTTATCCCTCAACGTAGCGTCAACAATAATGCACGAGCTGTCCCAACAGAAGCTTGCGTCCAGTGAACTCCGTGCCAACTGCCAGGCAGTGGCGAGTCTGATCTCTGCCAGCAGCAATGTGCTTTGCAGATAACATTGTAGCCGCGTAGTCTACACTTCACGGCCATAAGTCCGGAACGACCTCGAAACCAGCACCTAAGTGCGTAGCTCTCGCGATCTCTTCAATGGTTCTGATGTCTCGCTCAAGCTGTGAATTGTGGGGAAAACGATTTTCAAGCGTACCCTCACGTATGAAGCCCAAACGCTTACATGCAGCCAGAATCTCAGCTGCTTGATCGGATTTGCACATGACGGTTGTTCGATCATCATATGCTGGGCCTAAGAACAACAGAAGGTGCCGTGAAACCGAATCCGTGTCCCTTTTTGCAATCGGATATGCTCTAATCCACCCTGAAAACTCATCGCGCACTACTTGGACTGCATTTTCTTTGCCGTCCTTAAGCTTTCTTACAATGATGAAGTCAGCGGCGATCCTTTCCCCAAATTGCGTCACCTCGGGCAGCATCCCTCGGTCAGCGAGTGGGTCCGCACGTTTCGATGTGACTCGCTTGCGATACATTCTACTCCCTTGGCATGTGGGGCATGCCGGGTTCTTTGGAAAATGGGACAATCTATGCTCAAGACTCTGCGCTTCTCTCACAAGCCTCCGATGCCTAGAAAGCCCATCCTCTTCGCTTGACTCTCTTTCTGAATCTGCCAACTCGCCATCACCTGGTGGCTTTGCCGGTGGCGGTAACGGTGGCGGCGGCAGTAGTTGATCGGAATCTTCTTCGGGAGCCTTTGGTTCCTCTACTTCTACGGTCGGATCGGGATCCCTAGATCCTGCGGCTGTTGAACTAGGGACTCCAGGATCATAGAAGATTTCACGTGATCCCGAATCAAAAGTGATTTGTTTTGAAGTCTTTGACGAACGGGCTGAGTCATGCATCAACTTCTTCTGGGCCGGCATAGCGAACTGAACCTCTTCGGAGAAGATCGGGACATTACCTTCTACCCTAGCTGCCTTATGTACCCGTGTGTTATCAGCTGATAACTGTAGTGCGCCCTGGGGCGCAAAGTACGGCAATTCACCTGGCATCCAAACGAAGGCAAAACCCTGACTGACGAGTTCGCCCATACTCCGAACAGTGGGGCAACTATTCAGCACATAGCTTTTATGATGCCCAAAGGTAGCTCCAACAGTGTTGAAGGTGCTACTGCTTTCAGTCCTACCGTTACCCGTTTCAAAGGATACTGGCTCATCCTCGTGACATACGAGGTCATCGGTATAAACACCCTGAGCCCTCAACGACTCAAAAGGGGTCAAGCTGCGACCTGCACCAGAATCCGCTATCCAGTCAAGCTTATAGCTATAACCCGAAGCCCTTTGAACCCCGGCTGGCAACGAAAGAATGGCAGGCGCTGCGAGGGATTGCGATGTCCAAGCTTCATGTGCAATCGCAGAAAAGTCAGGACAAACAAAGGTGGCAAGTGTAGCAAGCGCCTTGCAAACGGCGTTAAAACCGATACGCAAAAGGCTATTGCGGGAATCACGAGTGGCAGCTGTGCCAACACGTGTTGCATTTCCGACAGCTCTCCCTGCGGCCGTTGTTGGGAGTAGCAATGCTACCGCGGCTGATGAAGTAGAAGCTCCTTTGGGCTTACTGCTCCCCCCTGTCTCATGTGAGAATGGACAGTCTTTGCCTCGGTTGCATGTTCCTTTCGGGAAGAACCCACATGGTACGGTAGCTGCTTTAGCCTCAGCGCTTGCATCCGCCTTTGGTGGGGGACCCTTTGGATCGCCTTTCCCTTTTCCTTTACCTTTGCCTTTATCCTCACCGGATCCGTCACCCTTGGCTCCACCCTTAGCCTTAGCCTTGGGTTTAGCCTTAGCCTTACCTTTTGGTGTCCCTTTGGGAGGCTTTCCGGGCGCTGCTGGAACGGCGGTGTCCTTTGCGGGAACTGCTGTTGCAATCGACTTTGCCTTTGCATTAGCATCCTGACCTGTAGGCTTTGCCGTGGTCTTATTCCCTTTTCCCTCGGTTTCTCTCAGCATTGCTTCGCTAAAGTCTCGTTCGTTGGCGTCTTCACGCAGCTCTGCCAAGTGATCTGAGAATTGCTCCCAGAGCCATCCGAACGTCCTCCTACGGGAAGTTGGGGAGGAATCCTTAACTTTGTCAATGATCCGTTGCATTCCCCTTGAACTCTTAATCTTAGCGTAAAACCACGAAAACAAGGTCGCGTCAGACGGCCAGTGCTCAGGGGCTATCCCATTCAGAATGTGTTCGACTCTTTCCTTAAAAGTCTGCATCTGATTGTATGAGAATCCGTCCAACGTTACAGCCAACAACGTTTGCTGTGTGACCGTAGCACCTCTTACCCGATCTACGCGAAACCTGCGCGAAAGCATTGCTATCATCGCTCGACCAGATGGTAAAACCCCATGTGCATGCGCCCTCTCAATGTACGCCTGCACTTCAAGCCCGAACTCCCCTTTCATATACCTCGAATCCGAAATCTGCGATGCAAGGAATGAGTCTAATCGTGGGAGCTGATCAGGATTGTTCTGGAGTTGTGCAATCTCGCGGTTTGTCACCTCAGTTCTAATGCATATTTGCAGCCATCTAAGAATCCTGGCTTGACCCGTGCGATCAATAGCAGAGTACTGCGTCAGCAGCGCGTTGCGCCACGATCTGAAACCCACATTATCCTTTGGAAGCTGTGGCATCTTCAGGTCTTGAAGATCCTTATACTTGTAAGTAGCTGCTTCATAGTCCTCTTCCTCATTTTCATCATGAGGCTGCGCATCAGCACCACCATCAAAACCCCGATCATTGTTACCAACAGCTCGCGGCTCAACAATGGGATCATCATCAACCTGTTCTTCCTCACCCTCCTCGGGATCTCCTATGTCGAAGATCTCAGGCTCAGGAGGCGGTGGCGGGCCCGGCGGCCCAGCGATGGGTGTAATGGCGGGCGCAAAACCCGCACCAATCCCGATACCTTTACTTGTAGCCTGGCCCGCTAAAGGTTTTAGGCTAGAGAATGGTGTCGTGAACACAGGTGATGCATTTGCATTCGATGATGGCGTTGCCGACCTCTCACATGCATAAGCTGATGGGCGATTGGCAAGTGATGATGAGGACCGTGCCCAAGCATCGAAGAAATTCGTGGATGCTTGTCGCTCACATGCATAAGGTGGGGGACTGGAGAAGTACGGGGCTTTAGCAGCCTTGCCAAGTGGATTGCCAAGTGGAATCCCCGATACCGAATAATCCGAATCCTTCTTATAATCCCTGCGCCCTTTCGCCTTTGGTGAATTTCCGGCGGACGAGGACAACACTGCATCTTTAAGCTCATTCATGGTTTGTCCAACATGTGATGCCATGGCCTTAAGCGCTTCGGTAATCTCCGCGCCATTTTGGGTTTGAGGAATCTGAGGTACACTCGTACTTACAGCACCGGCCTTGACTTCCGCTACGATGCTTTGCAACGTCGCAATCTGACTGTAAAGCTCCTGCTGTTGACGAGCCAACATCTCGTTTTGTTGCTTCAAGCTAGCAATGGTCTCATTTGCCACAGCCAGTTGCCTCGAAGCTTCAACGGAAACCTCCGAAACCATAGCTTGCGCCTGTTGCTCAATGGCCTGAACCCGTGTTTGGGCTTGATTGCTCATGTTGGCGGCGATAGCCTGGACCTGATCCTGAGCTTGTTGTTGAACCTCGGAAGCATATGCTACTGCCTGGCTTTCAACAATCTGGGCTTGCGCCAATGCTTGGGAATGAACCTGAGTGTCAACCCCTTGTACAATGACACCCAACTGCTGGTGCTTATGTAGATGAACCTCTTAGTCTTGTGGTGGTGGTCCATACGTTACTGGATTACCGGAAGGTGTTGGCATCTTAGGTTTTGCAACCTCGCACGCATACATGTGCTTTGGTCTCGGGGCGGTTTTGTTCCTATGGTAGGGACTAGAAGCCCTCGAAGGCCTATTTTAATGATGATGCAGCAACAATCCTACCCTCGGATGCGGTTCTACTCGCACTCCTGGGTGAGCTCTCGCTCCCGCTACTTTGTTTAGTTTCGGTTACGACCGATAACCCGAATGACACATCCGGTGCCTGCACAGCAGCTGCAGCTTCGTCGGAAGCAGAGGTGGAAGAGATCTGCAGTGGATCCGTCTCCATTTCATGCGAAGACGCCATTGTTACCACTGTGGGTGGCCGAATGCCAACACCACAATGTTCGGTTTGCAAGTGTTTCGGTTCTCGGGCCAATGGGAAACCACACAAGGGTGCAGAACTAAGCAAAATGCCGCAGCACCTAACTAGTGCGGGTGGCGGAATGCCAATGCCACAAACCCGAAAGAATGAACCTTAAGACCCGAGTCGCAATCCACAGAATCCACCCCGGGTGCAGCACTAAGCAAAATGCCGCAGCACGCAACGAAGGGAAACTTAGAGTTGGTCACGCGGTTTCCAAACTTTTGGCCAGCGCTCACTCGAGAAGCCTCTCCACTGGTACCGATGCCAACCGCCGGCTCGAGCTGACCTGATACACGTAGATGCCGCGTCCCTTGCAATCATTGGCGACCTCGTCCGAGTCATCAATCATCGTAGGGATTCCAAAAACCTGGCATACGGCGCCCTTGCCATTAAAACCAGCCTTTGACGTGATCACGATGGACGCAGCAAAAAGTTTACAGACCCCTGCATTCACCAGCTCTCGCGTGCACGCCTCCGCCTTCCCTTTACCTATAAAGGTAAGAAGCAATGGAAGAATTCGAGCGTGGTTCACTCTGCTCAGCCAGCGTACGTTGTCAAGCGGAATACGCGTCCCGGCGGATCCATTAATCGCCGCATCAATGCGATCGGCAACATCAGCTTTGTGAGCTAAAGTGTCATAGTAATTGATCGCCACGGCGCGAGGAAAGAGCTCCGCAGGAGAGGTGGATGCCAGGTCATAGCCGCTACGTACAACAATCGAGTCCAAATGGTGAGCTGATGAAAACAAGCGCTTAAGCGGGATGATCTCGAAGTTCTCATGTGGCAGGTCTGACAATGAGCGCAGGTTTGCAATACGCGGAGGAGCCGGAGCAGCGTCTCCGGAAGATGATGCAGCAGAGCTCTCTCGATGCGGCAAATCCATTAAAACAGCGGCACCAGAGGCAGAAGAAGCAGAAGCAGTGGACGCCTCCTGTTTACGGTTATATTCACGCCACTGTTCAGAAGTCCAATCTCCAATGCAACCCGAACCTACGGAAACCCCTGACGCCTTTGGCCCAAAAGATTCCTCTATCGAGGGGTACTCGACAAAAAATATTCATCACCCGAAGCGTCCTCACGTGGTTGAGCACGCCTCTTTGGGCGGCTGACGATGAATCCCCCAGCGGGTGTGCCTCTAGTCTCACGGGGCGCCGGTGGAGGCGTTGGAGTCCTAATCCCATCTACCTTTGGTCTAGGTGTTGGTGGGAATGGTGTCCTTACCCCGCCTACTTTAGGTCTTGGTGCAGGTGGAGCTGGAGGGCTAGCAACACTGACAGCCACGTCACGAACCGGCGATCTGGATCTCGGAGTTGGAGCAGGCGGATCAAGTGGAGTGTTGGGTGATGGCACATAAATGGCAGCATCAACCGTCGGTTCGGGTACAGCCCCTACCGGTCCATCGAAAGAGCTCGCCGGCTCAGTGTCCACCTCTACGACCTCCGCCTCGGGCTCAGCCGGATCAAGAGTGTCAGCATCGGGATAATCAGAAGGAAGCGCTGGGAGCAAAGTCAAGCTGGAGGTAAAGCTAAAACCAGGATCATCAATCTCCGTAAGGCGGTCTCGGACAACGTTAACAAGTCGTGACGCCTCGAGCGAAGTCAAGGTATGAAGATGGCGAAGCATGCCCCGAAGGATTTCAATAGAGAGGGCTTTACGACGCCTGTTCTTAGCAGCTCCTCCGCCCGTCAGGGAAATAAAAGCCCGCAACCGGCTGCTGAGGTCATCGTCCGCACTAATGGTCGGAGCAGCATCCAGAACCTGCTGCGTAACCGGATCCATCGAACTCACCGGACGATTACTCAAAACCCCTGTGCCGTTACTGTGGCCTGATGTATCCCCCAGTGCCGGAACTGTGGCTTAACGTATCCCCCAGTGCCGGAACTGTGGCTTAATATATCCCCCAGTGCCGGAACTGTGGCTTAATGTATCCCTTTGCCTGAATCGTTGGCTTGACGGAATGCCTACCGGATGATGACGCAGATCTCGGCGTGACACCAAACACACCCGAAGCTATCACCAACCACAACCAACCACAATGCAGCCGGTGGCTATGAGCCAGCACAGTGGAGGCACGCAGGTCTTTCACCCTCAACTCTTTGGTTGCTTTGGGCAATGGGAGTTGCTTTGGTGGTTACTCCAGTGGCGAGATGCCAGCAGGAGGGCACGGAAGCGATCAACCAAAGATCCTCAACCTCAAAGGGAGAACCACGGGAATGCAACCGTTGCCTTCAATGTCGTTTGGGACAATGGCGGTGATGGGAAACCGTTTGGAACCCTTTCACAAAACCCGGCACACCACGAAGCCCTAGGCCTTCCTAAACCGTGAACGGGTCTCGGAAGAGGTGTATGGGTTATTACCACAATCTTTGATTGTTATGGTTAGTTGGTCCACTGAACTGGTCAAGCAGACCGGGTTTGGGGTATTGGGATGATCCGATGTTTGTTCCCAGTCTACCGGAGGCGAAATGCCAACACGGTGCACGCCCTGACCTGAAAGGATGCAGCGGCCTCAACGCAGCAAGCGGAGACGAGCGCGAATGCAGCCTTTCGGTTATGGGTAGTATCTCGGGATTCCCCAATCGATATAATCGTCTGCGTATCGGAATTGGGTTACCCTATGTATCTGATGCAATCGGTACAAGAAGAAGGATGTGCGATACCACGATTCAATGGACCTGCGGACAATCCTTCGCCTGCGCGTTCTAGTCCTGTTCCACCTCCTACGATTCTGAAGGTAAGTGGGGAAGAACGTCTCAAGTACCCAAAGCCTTATCCTATAGTAAAGATCCACAAACCAGTCGTGCAGAGCTTCACACACCGTAGGATGCCCGTCTGCTCTGGGCATACACGGTAACTAAGGTGGTGCCTGAGGCCAAGGGGAGGGTCCACGAAGCGGAAACCACGGGACAGGTACCTCCTCAAGTCTAAGACTAAACCACCTGCGAAGTGTGAGAAGTTCTTGAACCCTTAGTCTGGCTTGCCTGTAAACCCTTTTCCTTAGGGCCCTTGCAAGTCTAGTCCAAAGATTCAGTGGATGACTGACAAGTGCACGTGTTATCTGTCGCACGCGCAGCTGTTGTATGAATCTAACCCAGTGATTGAAGTGCGTAATGTTTGCGAATATGTAACTCAACCCGGTGGCTTGGCTCTAGCTCAACACGGGGAGTATCAGCACGAGGCAGGACAGCTGATTTGCCCTACGCAATGCGATTTCGCTCTCAACACCAAAGGACCGTGGAGAAATATGAAAGGCTATGACTCAGGTAGAGGCTCTAGACTCTCCTAACCACAACACAAACGAAGTATCTCAAAGCTGAGGCTGTTAACCAGAAGAACACAAGAGACACAAGTGCTCTAGCAAGGAACAGCAACAAGTACAGCAATCGCACTTGTTTTCCTTGAGCCAAATGTTCAGTTGATAAGTCTTCGTTCTGTCCTAACTTGGTACTTGTAGTTACACTAGGAAACATGCCCAGGGAACGTGTTTTCTCAGCTAGTTATGTCTAGATCTACTGCGTTGTATCGTCATCTCTTGGTCGCGAGATTCAAGCATTGTTGAGACTGTACACGGTTGGAAAGATCCTCACACCAAGGCAACAGCATGTTGTCACGCAAGCAAACACTGAGGCCAATCTTAAGTCCACCTTGCACTTGCGGTCTTCATTGGCTGAGGCACAAGCGAAGGACCCTCCCCCCTGCAGTATTACTTAGCCCTCTCGTACAGGGATGACGCACACACACACACACACACACACACACACACACACACACACACACACACACACACACACACACACACACACACACGTGCGCGCGTGCTGACTGACTGGCTGCGCTCTGCATTCCCCAGCACCTTGCAAGAGATCGAAGTTTATTTTCCAACGAAACTTCCGTTAGCGCGCGTTTGGGAAACCCTAACTGCGCTGCAGAAAGGACCCTGTGCAAAGCACTCTCTTTTTTCTCCTAGCGGACATGGGGGGTCGGTTCGGGCCCGATCTTCCTCCACAGGAGGCTACGAGCCGGATTTTCTATGGACCAGCAAACGCCGCGCTGAGACAGGGAGTGGCAACACTGTGCCATAAAAGCGACTAGGCTGTTCGCGCTGCGAACTCGCGCGGCGTCGGCTCCACTGAGGCCTTTAAGGCCCGCTGGGCGCGCTTCGCTGCGCAAGGGGCCCGGAGCTCCCGGCCTGGGAATCTCTCTAGCTCTGCTAAAGGTGCCGCACGGGGGGGACCAGTGGACCCATCTCAAATCTTGGTGTGAGAGCACTGCTCTCAGCAAGTTGCGACCCAACTGGGTGCAAAGGTCGAGCTGAAGGACCTTGA